AATTCTATAATATAGAAGCGATAGCAATTCACATTGTATATATATATATATATATAAGTATGTATATATGCATAAATATGCAAATAATGAAACATAATTATCTTATACTTCGTATTTTTTTTTAAAATGAATCAGTAGAAATAAAATAATATGTCCATCTGAACTCAATTTATACTATTATAAATTCATGATAAATAAATATCATATCAGACTTTTATTTTATAACATGTTCATCTTTAGGATCTGTTTTCAAAATGTAATGGTCTGATAAAAATGCTTTCGTCCAAGTCGATATTCGGAATTGTCATTCAATTCCATCATCGTCTGTAATATTCCTAACAAAATTTTAATATAATAAAATGAAAAATAAGCAAAATTTAAATGATAAACAAATAATTTTAATGTCATAACAGCAAGAACTTTATCATATTCATTTTCTACAAAGCCTATAAATATGAAAGACTTTATAACAGTTGTCAAGATTCGAAAGGGAAAAATACAAAAGGAGAAACATATCTGCTTATTTATCTATTACGTCAATATAGAAATATTTAAGCGATATATCAATATATCCTTGTATAAATCATACGATTTTTTTACGTTTAAACAGTTCAAGGCACCTTTTTCTACCCTTTAGGGTAGAAAAAAACTAAATAAGTAATCGTAAAACGCCCTTCTAATATATTATCTAGTGGACATTGCTATCCAAAATCTAGCCTTATGACATAAAAGAAAAATAAAGAATAAACCAAATTCATCAAGTTAAAGAGCTTCAATCACTTACACACAGCAGAACAAAAAACACTAAAAAATATAAAAAATAATTAGAAATGGTGATTGGGTATTAACCCTGAAGTTATATACATCGCGAATATAAACATGAAAATCATTTTTGGGTGAATAATTCTCTATGTAAAGATTCTAATTTATTTATTTGTTATTTTTCTATTCAACGTTTCTTCATGTTATTTAACGGTACAGGTCTTCCTTACCCCTTTATCAAACCAAATTATGCTTATTTGTTACTTAAACTTAAATTATGGTCCCCCCTCATATTCATCCCTGACTTTTCAAGGACTGAACTCAACTAGTTGATTCTGTTCGTAGTGGGCCCTACACTAAACACCAATTCATCCCACCAATAACTCACTCTTAAAGACAGCTGTTCATGTTTTTATGGATGTTTTTGCCAACATTCTATATTGACGCGAGAACCCCTCCCGTAGTACATTTTTCCTATAAGTGTGGCCTGAGTTTTCAGAAGATTTATGTGTATCTCTGATATGCACCATGAGATGATGCCAGTGGTTGTTTTTGGCGTTACTCTACAAGAGAGGGACAAACACGGTCAAATGATGAGGGACTATGGAGAGCATCATAATTTGGAAGTCGTTTTCTATTGATCAAATACGTACTTCCGGTGATATCACCAGCCTATTAGAACTTTTTTTTCTTACGATGACGCTGAAGGGAAGTGCCAGTCCTCATGCTTCGATTGCCCCGAAGGCCATTTTTACCTTATAAGGTTTTTAAAATCGATTTCCATAAATTTAGCATCAGCTTTGTCGAAGGGATCGGTACTGCTACTTCCTTTATGAATCAGTATAAAGAGGTTATTTATCAGTTTTGTTACTATCAAGAACAAAAGATTCTTTGACATTACGGCTTTTAATTTGATCACGCTATAATGCTTTATCTTTCACGTTGACAGAAGCTTCGTTAACCGGAAAGACTTTCACCTTTTTATTCTTGTTATTCTTCCTCGTGCTACTTTCATCTTTTTTTCGAGTGAATTTCTCTGTTGTTTGTGGCAATGATACCTTTCTTCTGCCAGGCGCACCCGTCAAATAAACTAATAAAAAAGGTTTTTTTTTTTGTCTTAGGTACTACTTCTATCAGAGTATCAGTTAACGTTGACTTGTCGATTTTAGCTTTTGAATCACATAATGTTGTCAGCAGAACGCTGGGTTCACATTGGGAAATAGGATTTTCTGTCTCCTGAACACCACACTCGGTATTGTTGTTGTTAAATGTATAACTCTGTTCGCAGCTTGCAACTGTCGTCATTCCAATATTAAATCCTCTATCAGAAACTTCCTTGATCTGCTCGGTGTTCAAATTCTTGACATCAGGTAAAGAAGGTGCTTCGTTGTCTCTCATTGGTTCATTTTGTTTGACTTCTTTTAGTTCTTTTTGAGGGTTGTAAATAAATTCTTTCGGAGTATCATCTTCACTAGTTTTACTGCCTACGCTGCTTCTGGAAATTTCTTTAGGATTTACTTCAAGCTTAGCAACCTCGGCAGGTGAGCTGCTCCTAGATGAATCTATTTTTTTTAAAAAAACGTCATCTTCTATATAAATGTCAGCTTCATTTTGCGCTTCTTTCTTATTTTCATTGAGATAAATAGTATGTCCTTTAAGATGATGTGACAGTTCAGCTTCAGCATCACTATTTAAAAGTGGTTTATTGTCCACTATAATTAAGTTTAGCTCATTTGGATCGATATGCTCGGGGTCCTCCGCGTACGGCTCAGTGTTGTGATAATTTTTGGTATCCTTTATAGGGTTCTTTTCAAAACCCTTGGTCACTTGGTTTTCGAGTTTAAAACTCCTACGATGTTCTTCTGTGGCCATACGCTCTGGCGTATCCTCACGTGAGGTGTATTCTTGTTCAAAGATAACATAATTTAAACTATCACAAGCAGGAGAACCCCTGTAAGAGGGTCCAGCACCTGATTTGTTAGTAACCACCCCTTGTTCATTGTGCACAGTATTTTCATCCACTACAGCCTTTCCAAAGAGGGAGTCCTGAGCTTCGGGCTCATCCCCCTTATCGTGGATGATGTCGATTCGAGGCTCCTCTTCACTTTTGTCCTCCCCTATCTCCTCTTCATAGATTTCTTCGTAGTAGTAATATTCGCCGCTTTCTTCATACATTTCTTCATATTCTTCATACACGTAGTATTCCGACGGCATTTCATCCGGCTCTTCGAGAGCTGGGGTAGATGGTGAGACCTTTTCACCGTCCTGGATAACCCATCTGTCTGACTTGTCTCTAACGGGATTGTGTTTCGTCCTTCGCACTGGCAACACCCCAGTAGGGCTCTCATTGACAGGGGAAGGCGTAATAAAAGAGATCCTGGGGACTGTCAAATTCCTGCAATTGGGCTGTTTTGGGGGAGATTCCTGTGGAGTAATGATTGAGCCATGGTGAAGACTTGAATTTTGAGAGATAACCTGAGTCATGTTGGGGTTCTGCGGTTTGTGCAGAACACTATATTGGTTCGAGGTGGGTTGGCCTTTGAAGTGCTCTGAGACAGAGGTAGAGAAATAAGCGATCTTCGCAGTCTGATCCTTAAAGTTCCCCATAGAAGAGGATGTCTCTTTGTGATCCGGAGTGGCTCCCGGACTTGTTACCTTCTTGAAATCATTATTCAATTTCAGTTGTAGCAGAACAGACCGCTGAAACTTTCTATTGACATGCACCGGCTTGTGTATGAGTGTCTCTGAGGTAGAAAAGGGTGCACCAGGATTAACATCAGACTCTAGAAAATTTTTTTTATCCCTGTCTTCCACTCTATCCTGGTACTCAAAGTTTTCGAAAGTGGGATGGTTAGCATCGTAATGCTTTTCCCCATCTCCCTTTTTAGAAACCTTTATCATGTTGTTATTCGGACTCATATTACTTGGGTCCAGTATACTATCGATATTTGAAACTATACTGCTACTCATAACCATTACTGATCAATTTCTATAATTCGTACTTTTGTTTACGCTTATATAATATTTTCAAAATTGTTGTGTACTTTTTGTTTGATAAATATATTAGAATTATCACTTGAAATGTATTAAGGAGTAAGTAGATAGGAAAAGAACAACGTTGGTCTCATTTCATCCAACATTAAAGTAAATATTTAGGTACACATCAGATTTCCCTCAATAATTACAATACTTTGATTTATTCTAACAAAAGCAAAATCACATGCTAAATAATTATGTATTAGCGTATATCTTATTCTTTTTTACCAATGGAAATGGATAAGAAAAAGAATGTTGCTGAAAGCAATAAGACCTGAGAAACAAAATCCAGAAACATAGAACGGAATCTCCACGGTGATGCAGAATGGCGTAAAGAAAATCCTAGATAAGTATAGCGATTTTTTTAAACGCCTTATGTAATTTATTAAAATATATTTCTTCTAACCATAATTATCTTCATTGTAATAGAATTTTATGTAAAGATTTGTGTTTCTCGTAAAAATTGGATCCTTGGCAAAGAGCAATAAAATTTCATCCGCAGAAGGTAATTTTCCTATATAAAATTCAAAAAAATCAAACTAATGCGATAAGCCTATTTTTTTTCCACCATTATACAGTAAACCCTTGTTAGCTATTTTTTCCATAGCTTTCTCTTATAGGAGAATGCACTTCCTCCAAGCATTGTCGCAACCGTTGACCAGGCGCTTTCTAGAATCTCCCATCCTAAGCTTTGGGGAAAATTAGATGGCATCGATAAAGTTAGAGTAAATTCTCGCCCTTGAATTTCTCTAGGCATCCACTGAACAGGATCTCCATGAACGATTGATGAATGTGACCCTTCATGATTTCTATTAGTCTTGGCAGAAAGAGTGGATAGGTTCTGCAATGAATCTATTGGAGAAAAAGTTTCAGCTGTCTGAGCCCTGTTTGTAGTGCATTTATTTTTATCTGTTGTTGCATTTATAGTGGAGAACTGAGACACAAAGCAATGGGTTTCACTCACTAGGTTAGTGGAAGGATCCGGAAATAGGGGCTTTATTGGATTACATTGAGGCCTTTCATTTGAAATGTTGTTTTGTGATTTAGCCACGCATTTGGTGTTGGGTGTCGATTGTATGTGGTCTTGACTTGAATGAGTAAACAGTGCTGGGGGCGTTTTCGCATTTTCAACTTCGTCGTCGTCGTCGTACCGAACGAAACATGCCTGAAACTCAATTTGTATATCCAACTCCGCAAAAAAAAGCACTAGTAATGCAATATAAGAAAAATCCTCTTCGGAAAGCAGCGGTGGGAAAGCGAATATGACTTCATTAGTGGATTCAGTTAAATCGTGGCTATAGGGTTCCACAGCAGCCTCAGTCCTTACCAACGGTGTGACTTCACCTTTTTTTATTTCACGAATCAACTCGTCCTGCCCTTGATGACTCTGAAGCCCAATAAAGTGTCCACTCCTCGGGAGTGATTGCCGTGACATTGACTCACAGCTTGGGAAAGTGCGATATCTGGCAGAACTGGCCTGCTTGTGTTGCTGGAATCCGTACACAAAGTGCTTCCAAGCATAGACGTCACGATCAAAGCAGTTCTTTTTCCCCAGTTCACTAGAGTTGGTATTTGAAGAAATATTATCACACGGTGAAATATCAGATCTAGAACCTTGTAGTAAATCACTCACACATTTAAACACCCATGCAACCAAGTCCGAAAGGGATGCATGACCCCTGTTGGGAATATACGCATGAAGCTGAGTTGCCGGCGAACATATGGTCTGGGTACAAGATAAATCGACTTGTGGAGTCTCTTGTCTCATCGGAGTATGTATTTTATTCTTGAATAAGTTCAGCTGCAACCTGTAGTCCTCACTCTCCTTTTCTTCGGTTTTAGTATTTCCTGTCCCCGTCAAGAGCGTCTGCTCGGTCGATATTTCGGACCAGTACTGTTCTAAATGGTTTACCATAGTTTCCTTTGGCAATCTAAGGGTCTTTTTTAAAAGGTTCTTCAGATCATGCAACTCATCCATACCGCTGTATGTAGTCTCTGCAATTTTCAATGGAAGATCAAACGAACAGTCGTTTGTGGACGGAGCTGTCGAGAGGGTTGATTCATTCAGTTTGCAGGATAAAAAGGGGTGGTTGAAACATGTAAAGGATGGGAAAACAGCATGCACCCCTTTTGGAAGCTCATTCAATATCTCAACACTGGATTCATGTTGTTGTTTTTTGACAGTAAGAAGTTTCTTAAGCATTCTTTCAGAGCCACAGAGTGATGCACAATATTGAGCACGAACATACAACTCATCAAGAGGGTAAACCCAAATATCGTCGTCTATGTCATTGCGGCAATGAACATGTCTAAGCAAAAATGGGTAGCAATGTACTAATCGACACGATGCATTAAAGACAATACGAAGCACATCTGCGATGGATGCTTCCATGGTTGTGCTCGACAAATATTCACTTTTTTTTACCTCTTCTTCATTGAAACTGTTATGATGGTGTTGGTTACCTAAATCATAAAGCAGAATGTGGCTAACTCTGGAAAAAGGAAATTTTGGCGATATCCATCCCAACGTCGTCAAGCACGCCAAAAGAATACACGCGAAGGGACTAAAGCCCACAGAACGAAGCGCTTCTTCGTGAAAGGGTGGAGTATATGTTTCCTGTTTCATGAATTCCATCAGCATTTCTTCTGCTTTGCAAGCGGCTAAGAGCACGCATTTGCCCAACCAACGTTGCTGATAAAGGAGTTCGTTAGGGAACTTGACGACAGAGAGGTGGACAAGCGCCGTGAGAGTGTCTAAGATATCGGACAACGTTGCCGGTGAATTGAAAGGTTCACAATCACTACTTCTGAATCCTAAAATAGTCTGCTGATACGTTTGCGACGAAGGATGCCATATAAACAGTGCTCCACAAGAGGTATGCTGGGATTCTACTTCAAGAAAGAGAGCTGGATTTGAGAAGATGCACGCAGCGCGATGAATGAGTTCTATTTCTTCTAGATCTAGGGCTACTTTGTGGACTGTGCAGGGTGTTTGATCCTCTAGTACTTTAATCTCTTCTCTTTTGACTGAATCGACAGCGCAAAAAGATGATGCAATTCCGACATTTTTCAGGTTTGCATCACTGTTGTACTTAGTGTTTGCTATTCTATCAAACTCCAAGTCCATTTGCTTGGTGATTATGTCCCAGGAGATGTTCGTTTCTTGCAGGAGTCGACTCACAGCCGCGTGCAGATCGCCAAGCCGCGTGTAATGCTGAGTCGCTGATGAAAACGAAAAACCCTGCTCACTTCCTAGAGATTGTCGTGCAGTATGTATGAGATTGTGGCCGTCAAGATCCTTGGGAGTATGCAGGTATGAACCGACACAGTCTATAGGTTGTTGGGTCACAACGGCGTTGCAGAGGTCGTATAGGAGTGGTCCGACAATGCCGTAAACGACGTTCCAGCCGAACTTTTCAAGAAGTTTATGGTGGTTAATTTCTTCACATATCAAAGGATGCAGTGTCACGAAAGGGATCAATCGGAGCTGTATAGAAGTTATAAAACTGGCAGCATAGTGGAAGGCACGCTCCGCTGTAGCACTTGCAGTTTGTCCGCGTATCGTGGAGATGGAAGTATAGGAAGGATTCGTACTGTATGCATGCAGACAATGGACGCCAAGAACTTGATGGGTACTGTACTCACTTGTTTTATCGGTAAATTGTGTGGCTTGACGTGCAACCGAATCAGCTTGGTTCGTTGTACACGCGAGAATTTCCTGAGTATCAAAGAAACATTGATGCGAAGAGCTTGTAGCCTCATTCAAAGTGGAAAGACCCATTAATTGGCAATATGATGGTGAATTATACAAGAAATAAGGGGTCGGCCGACTCCCATAATGACGGGTATTGAGAGAATGTATGTCGAAAGGTGTGCTATGACCAAGCTTCTCCAAGCGTCCGAGAAGGGTATCAGTCTCAAAGGTGGTGGTGTCTGTTTCCTGAAAGCTATCTTCGGATTTTTTACTATAAAAGGAATGCAAACTATGAGTGGTATCTGGATCACTTTTTTTATATCCTTTTGGATGCTGTTGACGATATTTCCGGCCGTCCCACATCTTACTTCCAGGGCATTTGCCGAAAATAAAGTAAAACAGACGCTGGAAAGTAGAGAGGGTCGCCTCCCACTCTTTCAACGATATCACAATTTCCAGAATCGGACGTATATATTCATATAGTCGTTTTTCTTTGTCATCGCCCTTGGAAATTTCTGTTGTTATATATGGTAAATGTGTGTTTAACTGATCGTCCAATGGCGGCAACATCCCAAGTGCCATGTCCAGCTTCCTGAAGATTGGCTCCCACAAGCAACTAAGAGAATGTTGACCCTTCATAAACAGCGCTTGGTCGAATAAAAATTTCTCACCAGAGGCGGGGTGATCCGGGGTGAGCCTCCAGTGTGCACCTTGTAGGCTCATGAAAGGGCTTGAGTTAAGTAGGAGGGTGGCTGTAGGCTGCCGCACGTTACACCTCCATGAACCAGAAAACACTGAGGCAAAGTCACTACCACGATCAAGACTTGGAAATGAGCTATTCCCATTATCATACTCTAAAATACCCAAGCCATGGCGCTGGTTGTGTTCATAATCTCCTAAGTACAGGCCGCGGTTGGGGCCAGTGCTACACCACTCTGCTCCAACTCCATGTCTTTTTCCTGCCACCCACTCACCACAATACCATACGATACCCTTCCTTTCCATTGCAAGACAGTTTTCATGGTTAGAGCTCGACTCATGGGATACGAATCCAACCTTACTTTTAAGCAAAGACTGAGTATTCCCGCTAGGTGTAGACAGTGCCTCACCATAGCCATTGTAGAGAAGAGAGATTCGCGGGTTAATTGCCCATGACAGACCATCGGCTCGCTTCCAAGGCTCACTAAAGCGAGCAACTTCTTCCGGACTCAAGGCTTTCGTCTGGTTAATACCTACCGCAAGAGTGCCCATGTACTCTTCCGAAAAAATGATTGAGTTTTGTGAACTATTTGAGTCCTTGATTTCATTGGTAGCATGTAAATAGTTTTCATCTTTCTCTTTGTCACTCGTAAGATGATCTAGGCTCCTTCCATGCAGATCTTTTCTATACAAGTTTATTTGATGGGCACAGATTTTACGTAAGACACACACACTCTTCAGTTGAGGTGCCCCATAGACCCACTCTCCTTCGAGAATATACCGCTTAAATACCATGAGGCGACCTTTCCCATGAGGATGCCCGTGCCAAAATCCCCCTTTGTAAATTACCAGCGACAAAATGGCAATCCTGTTGTTGTGTCCTCTTCCTCCCTTTGTAGATTCCAATTGTACTGACTTTTCTATTTTTTTCACGGATTTTGGATTGTCAGACATATTGTCTAAACTTGTGTCCAATGCACTTCTGTCGAATAGATCTGCCACAGGGCAATATGCCTTCGGCACAAGTGCAAGCGGTATCAGGTGCTCATCGGAGGCATCATCGTTTGCACCATTATATCCTGTTGCTGCTTTTGTGGGGGTTGCAAGTGTGGATCCAGTGATATTTCTCCGGTGACCGTAAATAATATACAGGAGAACACCATAACCGTGTGGTTGGCGCCCGCATGTAGATCTAGAGCTGATCTGGAGAGGCTTTCCTTTTTCGCTATTCTTACCCCCGGCTTGGGGAAGAATTTGTGTGCATAATGAAGTCGAGCCTTGTTTATGTGATGTATCAGTCAACAAGACTGCAGTGTGTTCGTGGAGTATAGTGGGAGTCATTTCGATACTTTTAGAAGCATCGCTGACCTTACATGGCATTGATATTTCTTCTTCTTGTTTCACTTTATTAGCACTATTTTGTAAATCACTTGGAAGCGCAGCCACCTCACCAGTGTAGTAGTGCCCGTGTCGCAGTTTGTGCAGCTCTCTCCATTTTACTTTTGACCAGGCTGCCCTTAGGGAACGTTGCATGAATTCTGGTAGCGGCCCAGTGCCGTTCGGAATTGATGTGCTGGAATCACCATACATTTCAGCGTTTGCCGTAGACCCTACAGTTCCGCTTAACCCCCAGGAAGTGAGGGCAGCCCCCAGGAAGGAAGGAAGAGCCGGTATGATGTCCGCAGCCAAGGGGGTTGATATTGGTACTGGCGTTGCCGCCCCAAGATTGGCGACATTCCCTTCAGTGAAGTGAACTGGATGTTGATTGACATACCCATGTGACATCGGCGAAATCCCCACAGTCACATCTCTTAGAGGAGATGAAGTTGTAATGGTATTAGCATCCCAACTCATAAATTGTATATTGAATTTGATGTGTTAGGTGAACAATTAATCCTTTTACTTTTTTCTATCAGTATGAACTCGTTATTGAACCACTAAAGATGAAGTAAACGCGAATCTAAGGAGTGTGTTTCACAAACTTAGAAATAGTGGGAAATCAAAGACAGTATGAAAGTAGCCCTCGTGGATGTTGCAGGTACTGTATATAATATTTTATCCCTTTCTAGCACTCATAGCACATGCTAAGGAAAAGATAAAATATACTTCATATGAATAAAGTTACCTCAACAAGAGTAGTAAAGCGACTGAAGAGAGTACTCGATAAACCATTTTTATAAATAAAAAAAGATATTTATTATGTCAGTTTGATTATCGATTATATTTTACGCAACGTTCCCATTTTGATTACATGTATCTATAAATTTGTGTATTTATCTCTTTCATTTTTCTTTAGAGAATTGTATACAGGTGTGCACTTACTACCCTTTTTAAAATAATGCCAAAATTTAATCCTGAAATACCACGTTGCCTATGTGTTATTCTGCCTTCTCTCATAGAAATATACAAGTGATCTTAAATTCGTATGGTTACTAAGGATTCAATATAGTAGGCACAGCGTTTGTAGGTGAAACTAAAAGGCTACTAACCCCCAATAGATCCTCGCAAACATGCGCTGAACGTCCAACCACATAGTTTTTGATAGCCTCACGTTTCCTTGTACGTTTCCACCACTCCTCAAGTGTATTTGCACGCTGTTTAGTTGTCGGTACAATTGTTGTGGGCATCGTCGTCTGTGGGCGAATAATTCCTTCAGCATGTCCTCCGACGAAAAAATATGAAGCAATCACACTCTCTGGACGAGGTGGTATTGAAGGTATAGAACACATTGCCTGTGACCCAGTGCTGTTACGTATATTTTCGTTGAGCACCTGAAGCCAGCGTTGTGCGTCACCGTAAGGCAAAAGCACATCTACAGGTTTGAGTCCAACGAGGACTATACTATCTTTGTCAGTAGAATGGCATATAAGACCATTACCACCAGAAGTAACACTGCTTTGAAGCCTTGTAGTGACTTCCTCCACTGCTGAGGGAATAGGCGCCATAGAAAAAGATATTGATGCCGCACTAAAGTCGCTGCTGAGAGAAGCGGATGGTGATGCCGGTGAACGACTCGGGAACAACAGTGGAGGCGGAGGGGAACGCGAAGTAGATGTTGGCACCTTTGGTTGTCCCTTAGTTTGTAAGGGTAAATCGCAAGTATCTAGCTCTGATAGTAAATCCGCCACCGAGCACGTCACAAGATGCTGTTTCGACCACCTCTCTTGACGTGGGCAATGCAGTTCATTATAGGTGACTGCTGCTTGATAGCGCCCGTAAGACGTATCCCACACTGAGGCTTCTTGCCATGGCACTCTTTGAAAAGTCCTTTGAACGAGTTCAGCTGCATTTAACCCGCGGTTAATGACATTTGGCGATGGGTCAGACCTTTTGAGATCAGCACACTCTGAGGCAACATCGGTGTGGCCATTGAGGGCTTCATTACACACAACGGGTGTTGTGCTTTCAGAGCGAAAGCCCAATAGAAGCCAATGAAGTCGGTTCAGCCAGTTTCTAATATCACTGTTTCCAAACATTGTTTTAGTGACCGCCACTGCAGCGTCTGCGGTGTGGTACGGTTGGTTTTCGCAGCATGAAGAGCTGCAAACAAACTGTGAGAGATCTCTGCCATAGATTTCCTCGCGGAGGCGCGCGGAAAGAGCCTCAAAGCGCTCGATATTACACAACTCAAGAGTACAATCCTGCAACACCCTCTCTGTGACAGAGGAAACTGGGCTCTTCGAATTAGTGTTGGTGCCTTTCTTCTGAACAGAACTTCTTTTGCGAGAAAAAATATATTCATTCGAGTTCAGAAGCATAGTGTCATCGGTTTGTGATAAGTTCTTATTTTCCGAAGAACCATCCGGGTAGAGTACCTTGAGTAAGCCTAATTCGACTGCACCAATCACCAGTAATTCTGTAAACAACGACGCCTTTGACATCGGTTTCAATGTCAAAAATGGAGTTTGCTTACCAAAATACTGTGCTACCAGTGCTGCACTCATTGCAATGCGCGCAAAGCCACATCCGTTACCATGATTGGACTCGGATATATGTGCTACGGCATTTTCATCACCATACAAATAGTTCTGTACCTCAGTTTGATCTGCAAAGGTATTTTTCTGGTGGTTCCTAGTATCAGCGATAGAACCCATACTAATTCCTTGAGAATGCAACATCGAAAACATACTCATGCTGCTCTCGTCCAGATCGTACCGATTAGAAGCTAAAACGTCTTCCTTACATGCAGGACTCTCTGATCCCGCAGACAAATGATCTGTTGACACTGTAACTACGAGTGGAACTTTGCTCTTCTTTGCGAGGTCGCGTATAGCTGCATAAAAGGGCTTAGAAGCCTCATTACCAAGCAAGATGTCAGCATCTTCGATCAGAAGGAGGGTAGCACCAGAAGGCTTTTTAACATTGCGTTTGTAAATGTCGCTGCAGTCATTGCTCTTCACAACCTCTGGAGGGTGAGAGTTTTCACTTTGGCATGTTTTCACTAAGTCGCCGATTGCGTTTGTTGAAGGACTAACAGAAGGTGCATCCAATTCCTTTGCGGGATCACGAGATGTAGATTGTGGCTTCGCGGTAGTCTTCACTTCCGCGTCACTATTTTTTTTCTCAACTTTAGAAGAATTTTTAAGACCGAAGAATGTTGCAACAGCTTGAGCCGATATACCATTTGCCCTTCTTTTATCTGGAGCTTTCTGCTTCGCTAGGCACGCCATCTCTGCTTCATCAAGCACAGTCGTCATCATTAGAGCATGCTCTCGCTTCATCCTGTTGAGCTCTTCCTCTATACTCAAGGTGGATTTACCACGTTGAGATCGTTTCAGTCGATAGCTGCGTGTGAGCTCTGCGAGAAGGTGCTCAACGTTTTTCGGTGACCGCTGTACCGAAGTATTCATTTCGACAACGTGAAACCCAAGCAGCTCAGCTGCCAGGTATACAGATGCAGTTTTGCCGGAGCCGGTCGGTCCACTAAGCACCGCAATGTTAGTGATGGCATCATCTAAGTCATTTTCGCTGTCTCCGTTTGAAGATAGCGTCTCTAAAGAGGAGGATGATGATGGTGATAAGCATCGGCTGCTTTTACTATCAATTTTATCACAAAAAAGGGATGATCTAGTAATACCAGACTGATAGAAAAGGGCGTCTTGTTGTTGCCGTTGTAAAATGAGTGGGAAATCATTAAACGACAGGTTCGTGGTTACCTTACTTAGGAAATCAACATCCTCTCCGGTGTCTTCTCTGGTAAAATATCCACGTCGTTTTGAACGCTTTCGGCTCATCAAACGTCTATGAGCACGGCGCTCAGCTTCTAGCCTCGCAAGCCTTGCGCTGCGTAGCCGGTTGCCGAATGTATCCACATAGGTCCCACAGATCGTCCCGAGAGCGAGAGTTTCCTCCTCTTTTCGTATTTCTTTGGAAAAGGGCAATGAAACGCATACGCGTGGACTTTCTGATCGGGCAACCGGTGAAGCTGACGTGGACCATGATGGGAAGCCTGAACCACCTTGCGCAATATTCCCTGAGAAACGAATACGTGGAAAGGGCAGAACCTCATACGAGGTATCGCGCCAGAGCTGACAGTATCGTTTGTAAGCCTCTTGGGCAAATACACGCTGAGACTCAGGGGGGGGAAGGGGTGTTGATAGAGTGGATGGCATGTGATTCATTCCTAAATCACTTTCGGGGATTAGTTTTTCAGTTTTCAGACGTTTACACATTGGATGACCTGTGTCCAGTGAAACATCAGACACGAAACGTTTCGATAGTGTCCTCTGCTGGGTTTTTACCACCATCATCTCAACAATTCCTTCAGAGTTTATGTGTGCTTTGCTTGCTATTGACTGCTCTTTATTTTCTTTAGAGACGGCGATCTCAGACAATTCTGGAAATGCTTTTTGCTTATGATCCTTTGAGATGTCCTCCTCAGTCTCAAGACTACCCCCTTCTTCCTCTTTTAGTTGAGCAGTAGAGAGCAGAGAAGTTGTTGTTGTATTTCTTTGTCTTTGTGACTCCTTAACTGTGTTTGCATGAGATATTTTCTTATCATGAGTTGCACTCCGTCCGTTCTTGTTTCCTGCTTTGCCGCTTTCGGTGAAGCTGGCTGTGGCTTCGGATTCAGCTTGTGGTTTCCATGTACGTAGCCACTCCAACAATCGTATTGTCCCGCTAGTGAAGGAGCTAGTTCGAAATAGAGGTGGAGGATACCTGTAGTACGGTAGTTGTGCGCAGTCGCATTGTCCACTTACAGGACGCCACCCACTTAGTCCTGCCGGAAAAGGTGAAACTGACTGTAGTTGTGTAAGAAGTAATGCGTATTGTATTGCATCTGTTACTAAATAATGCAACTCATGCAGCTGTAGGAAAAAGCGCTGGTTGTCTTCATACTGTTGTTCATTGTGTTGTTTCTGAAGCTTCTCATGCCAGATTTTCTCAATGTGTTGCTTGAAGTATTCTAAGGAAATATGAGAAGATTCAAGAACAGTTGCTTTGGGCTCGTTAAATCTGTTGTTTATTGCTTCAGGTGATGAGACTTGAGGGTCTCGATCAAACAGTGCCTCTAAATCGTTGATCTTCGTCTGGCTCGGTTTATTTGTCAGATAACCCTCTGAGGTTTTATTCCCTTCAGAGACATCACCAGGAGCGAAATGATTAGCAAAGGATTTGTTAGACTTGCAGCGTTCATCTGCATGTATTAAATGACGCAAGGCATCCTCAATCGCATAGCAAGTTTGGATCTCAGTTTGAAAATATTTACCCACAGCTTCGTTTCCACGACAGGATAACCTATCTACACGTGTATTTTTCGTTTCATTTTCGCTTGATTTCTTTTCGTCTTGTGCTTGGCCCAGTTCGGTGGAAATGCAATGAGAAGTAGGTTCTGCTATCGAAAGTTTTTCAGGATGCACCCAAAAAGCAAAATTTAGGCTTGCATCACAAGACACACTATTAAAAAGGGATGTACTATGGGGATCCAAAAGAAGCTTCTCTTCAGTTTGGACGATTGAGTGACATTCATCCGTTTTGATTTTTGCCATCCCTATAGATTTCTGTCCTTGATTATTATTTTCTGGATACTTAACAGGGTACTTCACAAGGTCTCCATATGTTGCCTGTTCACCAAGTAAAGTATGGGGTGTAGACAGGGAATACAATCGACCCCGAAAGTGCTCCTGTGCGTAACAACAGACTAAAAAAAAGAACGCTTGGAGAGTGCTGGTGTGGAGCAATGATGCACTTAAAATGGTACGAATATTCAGTGCATCTGTACTTTGAGGCCTCTTATTTCTACTATTAATTTCTAGCTCATTTGTAGGACCCGAGATGCCGTTGCTACACATGCCTTCACACGAGTTTCCATTCCGAAAACCACCCTTCGTGAGAAGTGCAGTTCGCCCGCAACTGCTCATGTTAGTATACACACCACTTTTTATACCTTTTTTATCCTCCTCCTCTTCATCCTCAAGACTATTGTTTTTAACACTGTCGATCTCTACCACGGAAAGCAACGGAAAGCGACTATTTATCAAATCTCTCAGATTGGTGTCGTGTACAGAATTGCTTAGGTCTTCCCCATAATATTCAACTGAGGATGTATTACTGTTCTCAGAGTTACAACGTGACATGGTATCTAGATTAAATATTTATTCTATACTATTTTTCCTATGAAGTTCTTGAAGGCTAATTATCTGTATTTATCAATATATGGAAAACTTAAGATAGTGCTATCTAGTTAATTAATCTCTATGTCAACTTATTCTAACTTTATTCTCCTTTGAACTTCATATATTAAAAGATTGGTAAATCTTTTAATGCTGAGGGTTTCGAATTGAGTTTGCTTCCCTTGATGAAGAAGCAAAATAAAATTTACTAGATTAAAGAAAAAAGCTAGAACTCATGTTTGGCTCCTTAAAGAAAAGAGTAGAATGGGATTTTTAAAAAGTTGCACACATCCACACAAATACAGAGTGTGAAAAAGCGAAAGTATGGGAATAAGTGTTAGATAAACGCCTCTAGACTAACAAGATATACTTGTAGCATGTTCCCCTATAAATTTACCTATCTTCGATGGGTGTGAATCCTTCTTAGTCGACATTCCACACACACACGACCCCTTTCTGCACAGATCAATTCCTCTTATTGTTGTGATGCGGCACTTGTTATAGGTACCCCACACTTTGGACAGTAGCACGAAATTGACATCCATTGCTGCATATGATGAACATGACCACCATGTCCGCATGAACGTAACCAGTAGAACAAACCCTCCACAACCTCTTCGCACACAACACATGTCATGGCGGTCGTGTTGTGGCAACGACGGCATTCAGCATTATTGGGAATTGCATGCCCCGGAAGGAGCGAAATCGAAATTTCTTCCGTTTTAACTGCATCAATATCTACTTCATCACAAACATTATTGACCGGAGAGTCGTCTTCTACACTTTTCCACGATACAGTAGGAACGTTATGGTGGTTAGGCCTATTAGTCATATCGACTTGACTACGAGTTGCCTCTTTAGTACTTTGACTTTCTTTGGCCCTGTGTTGGCGTCCGGAAAGTGAAAATGACTCAGATTCACATTGGGGGGAAAAACTCACATTTTCTGTAGAGATACTTGTTGCTAAACTATTAGTACTACTTGTCCGAGAAAAGCTGTAGCTGAAATCAGTTGAATGGGAGTCTTCACTTTCGCATGTCTCTTGAGAAAAATCTGAGTCATCATGGATAAGTAAGGGGCCTCTCAAATGAGAAACCCCTAACCCTGAATCTCTAATGTAGTGCCTTCGCCGCTTCCTTTTTTCAGTCCGAGGTAGCTCCTTGAGGACTTGTTTCCCTCGGTCTTTCGAATCCGACTTCAATTGTGATGGTTGTGGCTCTGTGTACATGGGTGTTAGCGTTTTAGAAGCCTCCGATATGTTCACAGCTGTTATAGAAGAAGATGTATGTATGGAAGCCTTTGTTTGGTGTTGCCGAATCTTTACCTGTTGCATATCGACATGCACACTACTACTCTTGTGATTCAAACGATACATCGCCGATGTGGCTGGATTGCTTGAGTACGCAAGAGAATATGGCCCCTTAACTGGAAAGGTAGAAAGTTCAGACTTGGTGCAGTTGCCACAAAAGACATAGGTCATTTGCTTTTCATAGGCAATGTCTGCTGCCCTGGGTTGCACCGGGTTGTATGGCTCCTGAAAGAGTTCTGGAATGATTAAAAGAAGCTCATTAAGGGGGACGTACAATTTACATGCGTAGAGCTCAGAAGTATAAACCTCAAGCCATTGCAAGGCACGTAGCTTCCACTGCTCAGACGTACACGATGTCGTACTGTAACAATTCTTCGGCGAACCTTGGACGCTTATGCTGGAATCCTTCTGACGCTCTGCTGGTTGGATGGGTTGCACTGGAAACAAAGTGTCAGTCTTCTGAAAAGACAATTGAGGGTTGTTTGGGCTACTGGTCTTGGACATGAGAGGAAGTGTATGAGGTGTTTTTTGTTGCCTTACAGCCAGTGATCTGGACGAACGCCCTGGCAATAAAGGACAGGAAAGCATTGCGGAGAAATTTTCTGTGGACCCTGACCTGTTTCTCACAACTCCCTGGGCAAGTGAGGAGGTACAACAGGTGCTGGAGGTATCATCCGAAGGGTCTGACCTGACATACTCCCATGTTAGGTGTTCTTGCTCTTGCTGGTCATCACCCCCGCGACGCTGCGGCTGCGTACCGTTCTCAGTCGCTAATTCACTCTGAGAATGGAAAGCTGTGGTAACAGGGTGTGGAGCATGATGTCGCAGTCTCCACCAAAGACAGAAAAGTACGTAGAGAACTAAGCTGTACTGAACGTCCCCCATAAGCGAGGTGTACTCTAATTGACTTATAGTGACAGATAGGATAGTTTCAATATCGTGTGTCCTCCAGGCGTGCGAAGCTGCGCGCCAGAACTGTGCTCTTGGATCCTTTGGGCTCCTATCGTCGTTGTCATTCCCGAGACCACCGCCTCTCTTGCCAACTTTAATGTCATTAAAACTATTTTGTGTCTCACAAATACGACAATTATGCAACATCATGTTAGAAAATATAATATCGATCTGTTTCGGCGAGGAAAATGGAACGTATTGCTGTGGTTGGAATGTTAGGGCAGACAAGTCATTAGATTTCGTTACCTTAGCTTTGTGATCAAGCTGTGGTAATTTTCGTCCAGGCTTCTGCAACTCTTCTTTGAAATTGAATTGATTCTTTTCAGCCTCATCATCAAGCCAGTGACGATGACGTTTCATACTGAGAGCAAGTTCATAACCCATATCCCACTCTAAGGAATATCGCACAAAGAGGTTAGCTTCGGTTTGGCACTCGGTATAGGCCCAAGTGCAAGCGGCGTTGCTCAAGACGCAGTTTTCTATAACAGGATTGACGCAATGCTCCATGGATGAAGTGTTTAAAATTAACCAAAGCTTTATAGAAGCCTCAGGTAATGTACTACCGACATAGTTTGCATTTTCGTTACAATTGTCGCTATTAAGATTAGCGGCTTCGTGTGCAGGAGAGTTACGCAGTCGGCAGTTCGAATGCCCCTCTGGAGTGAGAGAGAGTGAAGTGGTGCAGTCATGACGCTGCATCGCTGTAGCGGAGATGGCAACAGTTGAGTTGATTTTAAGGCTTTGAGGAAAAGAAGTACGAGAAAGCACTAATGGGCCCATGTCTCTTTTAATCGTTGAGCTCCTCTTGCACCTCGTTGTTCGACTTTCACCTATTACTAAAGGCTCTTTAGTGAAAGCAAGATTCTTGTAGTTGCTATCCAAAACTAAAGACCCATGTTCGAGAGGGTTTGGCACTGAATGCTTGATATGTGTTAAACTATCAGAAGGAGCAGAAATACTGGCAATAGGTGAACCCTGAGCTGTCAGGCTTTGTTCCATACAAACTGTCGTTGGGTTGCAAAGGAGTGGAAAGATTGCCATGTGGTGCTGATTAGGAAAGCGATTCGATATCGTATTCACTACAGGAAAAGAGAGTGCTGAAGTCTGATGGTATGGCCTTTGTGAAGCGCAATCCTGGGTTAGAGAAAATTTATTCCGTTGCCCTGTAGAAGAAACTTCGGAAAGTGTTGCGTGAAAGCGTGCAACGCCCTGAAGGCATGACACATCACTAGTTCCGCTGAAGCGGCCTAAAGGATTAGATACCTCACGTAAGTTTGTAGAACCTCCTTGATAAGGTTGCGGCTGATATGACTCAAAAGCTATTGGCGACGATGCATGTGGTGTGTCTGTGCTCACACGAGTTTTATTTTCAGTTGCTGTGCCAACACGATATGGCTCAATTGGCTCTTTTTGAGAGTTCTGACCCCCCGGAGCAGGGGAGTGAGGTGCTCTGACTTCGTGCGCGGCTAAATAACCCGTGTGTGAGGTAGCCATAGATCTATCGACTCCTTTGATGTCAGGGGGGCATTCCTGATGCCCGTAGGAGAAAGGACGCTGGAAAACCCCAAGGATACGTCGAAAAAGTTGACTTGGTCCATTTTGTATGCCCCACCGAAGTTTTTCGAGACTTGGGGAAGAATTTGTCAACCTGAGGGTCGCATTGAGTCCTGTGGCCGATAGTGGCTCGATACTACCCCCAGCTTCAATGTTTTTCTCTCTCGGTTCTGCACCTATTGCTTGCTCCCTGGACGAACCGAGTGTTGGGAAGAAAAGGAAACTGGGTTCGGTTCTATCTGTGTTTGAAAAAGTACCGCTGTGTCCAGTCACCTCCATGTGAAGAGGTTGTGCCGCTTTATCGCTTGCATCTTGTTCTATGACGTCGCATATTGTAGATAGAGCATTACATTTTGTGTTATCAAAAAGAATGTGTAGGATCTCTTTGAATAAAAAGTGAGGTTGAATGCAGATACCACGTCGTTGTGCAACTTTCTCACGTTGTATTTCCTCGTTCCCAACCTGTAACAGAAGCCGCCGGATGAGGTCTTTTCGTTCACTTCGAATTACACTCTTATAATAATCCTTAAGACGTGAAGAGGTATTGCGAACGACGAAGCTGCGGCCAAAGAGGTCACACGTTACTGCAGATGTTGGCATGATGGAGTGCAGGCTTAGAACGCGTACCGCGCTATCCGGTGGGTAGCACAACATCATGTGGCCACAATCCTTTGCTGCACGTTCCGTACTTAGCGTATTTGTTGTTAAGGGGCTCAAGTGCTGCTCCTTCCTAGGTATTGAATCCGCCATGACTTCGTCTTCGTTTGCCTCAAGTGATGGACATACAAGTACTGAATCTTCAAAATGGTTATTATTCATCAAGCATGTACAAATCACCTCTCCACTTTTAAACACAGTAACCAGTGTCAGTTCGTTCACCCATACAAAGTCACTCAGCTCGCGCCCGTCCTTGGTGTGGTGAGAGGCCACACAAACTGGCACATATCCACTCACTGCATCCCACACACACACATCGGAATCAGTTGATGTAGCCGCCGTCGCAAACCAAAGCTGAGAAGCCAAAAGCTCGACTCCAGACTTAAAACCGGCATAACTCGCCGTTGTGTGTACTTCCTCAGTTTCAGGTGTTATGCCCTCTTTTTTTTCTGCAAAATCTTGACTTCTATTATGTTGCCGTAAAGCTGCATCATTTGAACCTGTAAAGCATGACGAGCTTAAATGACTTGTTACCGCATCGGCAGAATAAAGAACAGCAAAGGGATCTGGGCTTGGGAACCAGCACCTGAAGTGGTGATCTGGACTTTCTGCCGACAACTTCATGCCGCAGGAGCCAGGACGCCATTTTAAGCAATTCACACTGGCGTAGTGATCGACGGGCTTCAGAATGTTCTGCTGGACAACACGTGGAACCTCCAGGACGTTCGCAGAGGACAGCAGCGCCTCTGTTCCTGATATTGTGGTTGGTATAGTGTTGCTTACAGCGTCCAACAAGGAATCTGTCTGTTCCTCGTGCGGTACGTCTGAGTAATGGTGCTGTAGACCTTTTGTCAGCGTCCTTGAATTCGTTGAGCCTGATAACATTTCGGTGTAAGAGGTATCTCCCAAAGACGTCAAAACTGGGGCACCCGTCTTTACTATCTCAACTTGATGACTATTCTCTAGAACACGTAAAAAGGCGACCCGGCAGTCCGTTTTCGTTTTGGATTTTCGAAAGCATACCGCAAGAAGATCCGAGAAGATGGGGTGGAAAGCAGCGGCAAGGCCTGGCCCCATAACGTCCAGTGAACGCGGAACCTCGACCTGTCGTCGATCAAATAGAAGGACCTGACCAGCACTCGCGGACTCCACGATAACGATGATGAGATTCGCATCGGAAGGTGAGAAAGCAAGGGTGCGGGCGACAGAGCGAGTATTGTGTGCCGGTGGGCGCAACACAAGTTGCGGTGCATACACTCTATCACTGACGCTTGGAATATGCCACAGCTCGAAGTGTGTTAGAGTGGAGCTGAGAGCGAGTGTGTGAGGGTTGTGTGGGTCCCACGCAATACACTCTACCCGAACATAAGTACAGTCTATGGATAATTCAATAAGTTCTTTGGCAAGAACACCTCCGGGGCTGCGCTCAACAGAAGCGTGATCTGAGCTAATTCCGGAAGATGGGGTGAGAGTAATAGTTGGGTTTGTAGGAATAGTAACGTTGCATCCCTTGCCCCAGGCAGGTGTGGACAAAGAAGGCGTGAGGTTAGTCTTGATTGCACATGACGAAAGCATAAAGCCGGATGGCGCGACGACGGCTGTTGCAGTGGAGCCCCCACCAACTCTTTGCGTTGCATGGAGAGTCTTTCCCTTGCCTTGGGATCTTCTCCACTGCTGTGACACGTAGCTGTCGTCGCTTTTGAACTGTAGTGCATCAAGGAACACAGTAACAGCACGTCCAGGCTGGACAAAGGCAACACTTGCTTCATTGCAGCTAGGATACCAAGCAACAGACTCAACCTTCATGAGTCCGCCAAAAACTCCAGCATTTCGGAGCACATAGGGGCTGTTAGAGTTGGCGGAAGAGGATTGCATGCCTGAAGATGTATTTCTGTTGTATACAGATGTAAAGGTGTGAAAAGCAGAATTTTCTGAATTATTGTGAGCGGTTTTGAAGCTGCCGCTGCGCCACTTTATACGGCTCTCATTGCCTGCATGTGTGAAGTCAGTGCCACCAGGTGGCCTAATATTACTACTTCGCTCACCGGGGACGTAAACCTCAGTAGGAGTATACTGCGAAGGAATAGGTATTGCGTGTGTTGGTAGTGTTCCTCGCCTTTCAGTAGATTTACCCTCTCGGTCATCTTTCGTGTCAGTTTCCCTAGAAGAGGGATACTTGTCATCTGTATCGCATGACTCTTCCGCTTTTTGTTGTTTACTATTGCAGAGATGGTCGTGAGCGTGTCGATAAACATCATAGGCAACAGCAGGAATTACCTCTACAATGTGCAGTTGTCTTGTGCTGCCAATTGCAAGCGCACGAAATGCAGGGAGGTAATCTATACTGCTGAGACCTTCACTAAGCTTTAAACGATTGGTGAGGGTTGGAAGAGCACTTATGGTAGAATTTGCCACAATGCTTGATGCAAGCCGGCGCTCGTTGTCCAACCCTGTTGCAGACATATTCATAGTGGTGCTAGAATCTAATGCAGGGTGGTTTGAGAAGTCCGTAGGCAACTTGTGTCGTCGAAGGACACGTCGTGCGGAAGAATCCTGATGGTTGTTATCGCCACTACATTTTTGAAGACCTCGCTTTCTCAGCGCAGCGCCTGCGGGAATGGTGATTCCAGCCCCTATAGTTACAGCATCTTGAGAGAAAAGGCGCTTCGATTGGATAGATTCTACTTGATCACTACGCATATTATTGCTTAAGATCATATTCAAATCGTTGTCATGCGGCCCGGTTACAGACAGTTGAACACGGGAGTGAGATAGGTTGGTGGGTGAAGCTAGAGTCAGTAATTTTTCGGTTAGGGGTTGTTCATCTGTGTTATCCTCGTCGTCAGGGGCTGATGCAGTACTCTCAAGAGTAGTATCTTCATCTGGTAAAGATATTTCCGTATCTTTAGACAAGGGACATTTGCGCACTGACATAGCCAACGTACGTCACTTTGTAGGAAATCGACTTTTTTTTTGAAATGTGTGATTGCTAACACTTTTGACATTTTTACGTTAAATAAATTTATGTTCGGGTGTGCCGAGGGGTGTAAAAAGAATAAATTGATAGTAGCAATTGGGAAATAAAAAGAAGACAACATTACTTTATGAAATATAATTGAAAAGATTTATAATTTCCCCCCCAAAGTAAAGATAGAAACTTATTCATGCAGTAGCACAACAATGAAAAACTTTGATTTGTATGTTTTTTGAATCATGCCTTATCGAAAAAATACTATAAATATTTATGTATGCTTATACATTTAAACAAATATAAGCTTATTTAAGTATCAAGAGGTTGAGATATATTTTTTTTAGAATATGTTCTACTCAACTCATATACTATGTTTCATCGATCTCCATAAAGAAAAAAACTGATTTTTTTTTTAATACAGAGCTCTCCACATGTCTCTTATTTAATATAAAAAAATCACAAATAAGCGACACAAAGGCATACTTTAAAATTAAAGAAACACATTATCTAAGAAAAAAGCAAGACATATATATACATTTAAAACCTCACCAAAAAACTAAAACATAGATTGACATCGAAATTAGAATGAGCAAAATCATATAGATTTCATCTTGAAAAAATAATATCTAATTAGAAATTGACATAAATAAGTACATATATGCAATAAACAGAGTTAAGTACATTCAACAAGATTACTACATTTACTCATTTTTATCGAAGCAATATCATTACACAGTTTCGTATGAATAGAAAAATAAACTTTTCGTCTTTTTTTTGATATTATCCATCTCTTTGATATTGTTCTATACTTTAAAGATGTGTACATCAAATATGCAATTCAGAAGACACAAGGGAAAAGAAGGAGCATATAACAACAACAAAAATTTAGTCTTATGATCCAAAAACAAAGTAACACTAATATACCTTTATATATACTACAATAATTACTAAAGTAAAGTTCTAGGGTCTCCAGTTACGAAAGAAAAATGAAGCAAATTGAGAAGTATACTTAAGTGATCAGGGGCTTCAGTAATATAAATTAAGCTTTAAAAACGTAACAGAGTGATAGCTTTTGAAATATAAGCATTTTATTCAATAAACAAAATCAACTTATTTGTGCTCTACATTATATTTATGAAGAGATTTTCTGAACTCAGATTAAAATGTTATTCATGTACATGGGTAAGTATTGAAAAAAAAAACAATAGCAAATACTAATATTATAAGACGATGGATTAGTAATATATTCTAGATCCTTCATAAATAATAAGAAATATGCAGATGTCAGTTTTTCCGAATTCAAGACTTTCCATCCTCTGAACGATAATGTTAAATCTTATTAGATCGATAAACATAAAAAGGAATATTGAAAGTCACTCCCCCAAAAAAAATGATACCAATATAGTAGAGTTTCTATAATATGTATTCTCCAAGTGCATTTGTATGACTACAACTCAAGCTATACTTTCAGTTGTACCTAGAATATTGTCAAATTGATCTTATCACCTCGAATACAAGCTTCTTGACTTTTTTATTTATTTTTAGGAAAAGTAGAATTAAAAAATAAGTTCTAAAGTTTCTCAGCAAATTTTGATAATATAAAAAAGGTTCCTCCATTCCTACTCCTATACTGAAGAATTGGAAGATGTTTAAATTAGTAAATGGTTTACAATGGAGCCCACTGAGGAGCGCATCACTACCTTTATGAGGTTGAGCATTGTGAGTACCTGAAGAATGTCCTATTTAGGACTGCCGTTCATATCCTACTCACCCTTTGTCTAAAAGAAAATTCTCTTTAAAACTTCAGGGAAACGGTATTAATTTATAGTAATCATTGCCGTTTAAATGTCTCTAGCCTTCCCCGACGTATATTCGTATCAAGAGTGAGGAAAGACTTTGTTTCCCACTTGTTTGTCACTTAAAGTGATTTTGCTTTAGGAATGGAGGTAATGATGGTGATTCACTGGTTTGATTGAATGTTTCCTTGAAACTAGAATGACCCTCACTTTTTAATGCTATAGGTGAACATGCTTTGGATCGGTTTATATTCATAGGAAGTATGTGTTTTTGCTCCCCTTCAGATAACGCTTTGTGAGCTCCACGGATGCATTGACCCGCCTTCGTTATCTCAAAGAGCAGAACCGGTAGTAAAGCAGCATATGGTATTTTTCCACCCCTATCAACACTTTTATCATTTCCATTAGGTTTTATCGCTTCACCACTGTCATTATTATTGCATTCTGCTGTTTCGATATTATGGGAATTGCCACTCTCCATGGCGGAACCTTTCCTTGGTTTCGCGTTATTAGATGGTGATGATACTTTGGATATGACCGCTTCATTATCCTTCATGCACAGTGTCTCACTGGTGTTTGTATTTTCTTTTGGAATCACCACCTCATGTAGGTGAGCGCTGCACGGCCTCTCTTTCGATGAATCGCCAATATTAGGATCCTGCAAATTCGTGTTCGACGTCACTGCTTTGAGCTTCATATTTTTATCAAAAAAAACCGCCCGAACCTTGTAAAGACTGGAAATACCATTGACCTCTTCAGATGTGGAAATGAGCTTCTTCTTTGCGTATTGACGAGCACCGCAAACTTTTGCTAAGGCTACAAGATGAGAGATTGAAGATGCATCGATCTTTTCGTTCAGTTGTTTATCAGAGGGTAAAATTACAGAAGTGGAAAGTGCTTGTGTTTGAGCTTCGTCACCAGTACGAAAAATGCTGTGTTTGGCTTTTATGGGATTTCCATAGGTTATATTGGTTTCTTGAGGAGCATTTGCAGGGGGCATTTTCACGCACGCAACCTCTCCAGTTTGAGGTGAAAGTACATGTGAGCCTTCAATAGAATACGTCATCAATGCATTGATGGGCGACATCAATGCACAGAGCGGGGATCCCGGGCAGGATTTGTCCAGTTGATGCACCAAGTGTTTCGATCCCTGATGGATGGTCTGGAGCTCGTCACATCCAATATTACTGTCAAAGTCATAGCATGGAGCTTCAGGAAATGAATCCTTGCTAATTTGCAAAATTGGACTGTTCAAACTAGAATTTTGCTCAACATGTGTACTTAACTTACTCTTCGGCTTCAGAGATGCGGTGGTAGTGGTACTAGAAACAGAAATCCTTGTTTCCCTATCGTGAGGTTCTAACTCATTGACGTTGGTAGAAGGCATGGGCGGCCTATTGCTTTCCCCATTACAAAGGCCATTTATTCCTGTTCCATCTACGACCGATTGGGGGGTTTGGATTAGGATGTGCGGTCCCTCATGGTTCTGTTCCATAAAAGAAAAGGATTGTGCAAGATTAGAGACAGAGTTTAATTTCAGAGTTTTTATTTTACACGAGGAAGATATTCCTTTTTCTTCAATAAGGTGTGTGTCCTTATTGTTAAGATCGTCCTCTGGACGAAATAAAAGTTCCTCTCCCACGGTACTGTCATTATTGGGTTCTTTGGAGTCGAGCTTCTGAAAGTCTGGTACGTTGTTTACGCTGCTACCGTATAAAGATGATATTTTTCGCTGCTCTGCGAAACTTGACTTGGAGATGGACATGGGAGGGGTGCGAGTGCCGGTTTCAATTTCATACTCATTCGCATCCCATACAAAAGCGTGTAGGTCAGTGCCCGTTCGAAAACATGGCATCACATTAACCAAGTCTGGGGGTGTCGAATCTTTATGAGTATCCGGAAGTATTGAACCTGAAGACTCATTGCACTCGGGCACCGATCCAGGCGGTGGATTGGTTGAGGTTTCATGTGCCATCACGGCCTTGTCTTCATCTTGCGTAGGAAGTGAATGCTGCACTTTCACTTCACCGAATTCGTATACGCCATAATTATACGACGTAATTGAGCGATTTTCCAAATGAACGGGCTGACCCATACCCTGTCGGTTGGGAGGATTTGGCAATCTCCTTACTTGGTTGTAGGGGGGGGATTGGGAATGGCAGCCATCTTGAGGCCGGGCCCGAAATAACCGCTTTGCGGTCACAGGCCCTTTGGCATTGTCGTCGCAGTCCAGGTTAAAATTACGGGGGCTATCCACATATTTGATAAATTGGGCGACCGAAGTCCACCATTTATCCTTATACGTCGTGCGATCCTGTTGAACTTTTTCAACTCTTAATCCGGGACTTTTAATATCTCCTTTCACGTTTCCAGAAGGACCCATGAAGCGGTTGCGAATGAACTGAGGAAAATAGGACGGCAAACATTCTTGAGTAGGTTTGTGATTTCGTTTGGAGAAAGGAGAACGTCGACGGTATGGCATATTCTATCCGTATATATTCTTTTGACTCTTTTGGTATATCTTGGAGAAACACTAAGCCAGTAAAATGGAAACAGTGTATCTCTTTTTTTTTTTGCACCGTTGCCTGTATATATACACTAGTTATGCAAAAATGTGCAAGTGGCTTGTATTCCTTTCCGAATTGAAAATATATTTCAGAAATGAGATTTATTAGTTCCGGCACTATTTTTTTTGTGTGTATTCTAGAAATGTGTCAATATCCTAAAGTAAAGTAGCACACAAAAAAATAAAAGTTCAAAGCAGGTTTTCTACCTATAGGAATCCTTGATTTATCCCTCGAAAAAAGAGAGTAAATCTTGCTTTTGATATGTAAGTTACCTTTGATACTTTTTCTTGTAGTGCGGAGATGCTAATAAAGGACAATAATAGAATGCCACAAGTGCTAAGAAAAGAAAAAGGTTATAGTTTACAGCTGCGGAGTTTGAATGCCATTTTTTTAATCATGTTCACGCAATGAAAAATCACTATTGATCATTTGTTTATTTCCAAGGTTTACCTCGTTGAAATATGTAAGATAAAAGTTAGGCAATTCAGCGGAATAAAGAAACAAGACTTGGATGATTCGTGAAGCTTTATAAACAGACAAACACGAAGTTTTCATAGTAACACAGTATCTTTTGTTTTTTTAGGGGAAAAGTATTCTTTAAAGTTAACAATGAACTTCAATATCATACAAAAGTATAGATATCAATTGATTTTAATAAAAATAAGAATTTATAAAAAAATCAACTTAAAAAATCACTGTTTTTTTGCATTATATCAGTGAGGCAGGGGGGGGGGGGGTAGAAGATAAAATCGTGTAGAAAAAAAAAGAATAAGCCAGGTAGCTTAAACAGATGTAGCTCAAATAGGTAGTAGGTAGTAAGAGTAAACCTAACCATATATATAGTATAACCACATGCAAGTACATACCTCCTTTTTTTGCTAACAGTGTAATATTATGGAAAGACACGGTGACATGTATTTCTAAGTCCCAAAATTAAATAAATAGAATACCGATTAAGAAAAAGGGTATAAATGTAATGAAAATACAAACAGTAAGTAAGAGCATAATGACATTATAGGATCCTGCGTTCATTATATTTCGCCTTATTCATTAATATAAAAAACAGCAGTACAGAATATATTTATTCTTTAGTTTCTAGTGTCACATAAATTGATCCCTTAAAGACAGATTTAAAAAATCTAATAAAAAGTTGAAATTTGACAGAATCATCGAAAAAGGAGCCTACGAATCAAGAACCACAAAATAAAGATGGTAAATTGAACAACAGTAAAAAATGCAATATATACATATGGACACCATATTAACTTTGACTATATCACATTGCATATTATTGAATAAACAATAGAAAGTGAAAAGCTATCCTTAATGGGTTGGAGTTAAATTACAATTGATTTTTTTCAAAACTACCGCAATGCAAAGTAGAATTATAATTAAATATTATATGATTAGTTCTCCTATTATAAAGATGAATACAATGTAAAGATACGAATCGCGTAAACGCAAAAGTTATGATTCTATCATTGGCGAAAAAAAAATGATAGGGTAAATAGCTCACTCTTGGAAACATTTATGCGTTTTTAGAGCAACATATTTGATAAAATCAAGCAAAAAAAACTCCATCCGCAGCATCGAAAACATAAACTACATTCATCATAGGAAATTTTTCAATTTTAATCAAAACTAAATGACAAGTTAGTTCTGAAGCAAAAGAAAAGCTTTCGCTCTTTACTTTATCTTGAGTAATAATAATAATTATATTACAAAAAACATATGCCAGCAGATTTAAGGGAAACGGAATGTACGTGGTAGATCCTTATAACGTATGACCGTAAAAGCTTCATTTTACGTTATTATGTTGAAAAAAATTCTGACTACATTTTTTTTTTATATAAGCAAACCACTCTTCCGCTTAAAAATTAAAATTATTAGTGGAAAAAAAACGGACAATATCACAGACAATTTTACCAGTGCATAAGACATATACTAAAGAATAAACATATAGGTAAAAAAAATTCTGACTCAAATCCATAAAATAAGAGAATATTAGAAAAAAATATTAGAAATTTTGTTATGATAAAAAAAAACAATAATATTTAAACGGAATTACCTCCATCCCTTTCAATCCTTTCTCCGAACAAAGTATCTAAACATCAAAGCTTATATGTTATAAAGCTACATGGATGAAATATGATGAAAAAAAGACATCACTGCTACTACTTACGACTCATATATATATATATATATATGTCGGTCTTTGCTGAGCCATTCAAGTAATATACCTTTCATACTACAGAAAAACGATCATTAATGATCATGTTTCATACTGCATGTTTTTAGTGTGTGTGTGTTTTATTGATAATGTTTTCGCAGTGCACTGCTGATGACGTATTGCTTCAAGCCTTTCACATTTAAAACGACTCCATAAAGTTTAAAAATTATATACCCAATTTATCCATATTTTCAGTATCCTTTGTAGTTATCCCACAATCGCTTGTTTTTATTCCCCCCCCTTGGCATTGTCCGCAAGCCGAACTCGCCGTCTCGCCGGGGGCTTTGGATAGTTGAGGTAGGGCCACTCGGGGTGTCGGCGCCGTTAGCTCCGCCTTATCATTCGGGAGGGAGCGCTCGCATTTTGTTCGGTCGGGTTCACTTTTTTCGTAGGACTCCGAGCCCCGTCGACGGCCCGTGAGCACCGTTAGCCCCTTCTTGGGAAGGGCCTTCAGTGGTGAAAAGGACCCCTGACAAATATGTTTGGGCAGAACCGGCAGTTTGGCCGGGCCGGGCCGTCTTACGGCCTCCATGTAGGTGGGGTTTGGGGCCGACTTCACAGCCACCCCTTCGGTCGCAGCCGGTTGGCTTGGAGGCGTGGGGCTGGGGGCCTGCGTGTTGGATTGGGGGTCCCCGGTGGAAGGAACGGTCTCGCCTTTGGCCTCATTCGGGCTAGAGGTAGGCTGCGTGGGTTGGGCCACCGTCGTAGGGCCTACGGATTCCGTCTTAACAGGGGTGCTCAGTGCATAACAGGTGTAATTTACATTTACCGTGGTTAACACACTTCCCTTGGCCTTGAGATCGGAATCGGCCGGTACGATAATTTCTTTCACTTTGGTGGATTTTGTTTTTTTAGGGTTCAAGGGTGGAATAGCATGGACAGATCGATTCTCCGAGGCGCGAGTTGAGGTTTCCGTCGCTTCCAGAAGACCCGCCGATCCCGGCGCTGCGCTGCTAGCTACGGAATTGAATTCCGCACCTGTCGAACAACACCCTGGATCATTACTGGGGAACATGTTTCCTAAGGTTAGCTTATTAATAATTCGCTTAACCTTTCGAGTTAAGGAATTCCTCTTCTTTTTTTTTGGATTGAAATTTTGCTGATGAAATTCCCAGTCCTGAATCTTTTGACTCCGTTCAAGATTGTTACCTTCATCTGCATCATAGGATATTAGCGGCAGCGCAAGCTCCCTCGCGCTTTTATGAGAATACAGTTGAGATTTCACATCCATAGAGATTGTACTATTGGTAACACTCTTCTCAGAACAAAACTGTGATGCCGAGTGGTTCCGTTCAGCCCGATCCCATAAGTTCAACATGGAGTTCAGACAGAGGTAGGAGTCCGAGACGCTTTCTAGAGGATTGGATTCATCTGCACCACTGTACGTCGCATGTAATGAATCCGGGGAAGCATCTCTTTGGTACTTGGAATTTTCGGCAAGCCAGTTCTGAATCTTGGGAACGGACCCCTCGTCCATTTCAGGTACCCCACTAGAACTATCCTTTCGGGAGGCATTTTTTTGCTCTTTCGGCTTCCTGATAGTGTTTGGATCTGTCGAACTCTGCTCAGACCGCGTCTCACCTTGAGTTGTTTCTAGATTCTCCTCTAAATCGTCAAGCCCCCTAGGCGAATCGACGTATGGTGCCTCAAGTAGAATATCCCAACTGCACCACACATTCAACCTAAGATCCCGCTCCTTTATATCTGCAACCTCACTACTACCCTTTAGTTTGTTGTATTTTTCTGCAGCACTAAAACCTAGTAAACCGATAGGACCGTAGAACGACAATTGTGAGTTCGGTTCGACGGACGTATGAATAGGTTCGTCAGGAATTTTATCATTCTTCTTCTTGCAGACTCGCTCACTTTTATCGTCATATTCCATATTGTTTGGAGGTTGAATTTGTTGGGGTGCACAATTGCTAGGGTATGAACCTTGTGGAGGTGCATCTATAGCATGAGTGTGGTTGAGCTCATATGACCGCTGTTGCTGGAGGCCATATCGAGTGAGCGCGGCGTTTAAAAACGAGTTTGGATGATCCATATACCCATTGCAGAAGGCAAAAAATGATCGTTGATTTGGCACCCAATGAAAGGGTCTCGCTGGGGAAGGCAGCCCGGTTGCCCCGATTGAGGCGACACTATAGTTGCTGTTGTTTCTCTGGCAGCTGCTATGCCCTTCCGAGAACCTACTGGAGCTTCGGTCATCCCTAGTGACTTCAGCCTGGGGTTGAGAATACATTTCGGAGTTTCGGTTCATCAGTGAATTAAAATATGGAAAATAACCACTGGATATGTTTCTTCTAGGACACTGTACTGAGTCGTATGGATTCCTTTTACACCTGTTGTCATAGCTATTTTTATCGGGTCTGTTATCAGATAAGTAAACATTGTTAGGAAAGACTTGATTTAGATGGTTTTGAATATGGTGATGTCCCTGGTCATAGTTGAAATGACGATTACTACCTTGGTAGTAGCACTGATCGTTTAATCCCATTTGTGGGTGCTTTCCTGTCTGCGAGGAACCCTTGGTATTCAGCTTCTTTTGTCCATGAGAATACTGCGATGAAGATGCGCCGCTTCCAATCGAATCTAAGTGTTCGTGAAAAGGGGCACTCTCCATCATCAGAGGATTCATACTATCGTCGTAGAAGCAGTTGTCGACATTGTCAGACTTCATAAATTTGGCAATTTTTTCCCTTTCTCCTAAAAGGATCGTACGGTAACCAATAAACTCAGGCTCTGGAAGAATAGGTCTGTTTATTCTTCCTGATAGTGCTACTACTCTACTTCTAAGTTGCAAGCAGTTTAACAAACCTGAAGTCTCGGTGTCTGAAAAGGAAGAGATGGGGAAGGGGGAAATCAGTACCTAAACAGATGTAATCTAGTATACGCCCTTTTTATTCAATAAGTAATTGAATTAGTAATATAACTGTTGTCTTTTTCCCTTGATGATTCTTTTTTAAAGCATATCATTAAATTATATTACTCCCTTTTCAATGATGAAATAAAGAAAGAAAAAATGTGATAGAGATGATACAAGAAAAAGGATGGTATAGCGACATATAAGATATACCATTATATAGGAAAAACACTCTCATCGCATGTAACATGTAAAAATTGAAAGGAGAGTCACTAATGCGTCAATAAATAAATAAAAAGTGAAATCTTATGAAAGAAGGGATGTTGAAAATAACAAATTCTTTCCACTTCTTGGATAGTATATATATTTTTTGTGACACAATGCAATGCTAATACGCTGTTGAATAAAAAAGGGTTGAGCGAAAAATTCTTCTCAAGTTAGGATAAAAAATCAGAAAGGAAAAACAAACAATAGGTTCAATATACCAGATGTTTCTAGTACAGATTCATGAAAAAATGCTAGACGATATATCGAAAATGGGTGTGTCAAATCTTAGCATCAATTATTTAAAACACACCCGTGAAAAAAAATAAATATATCTTACGATGTATTTAATGCATATATACATTTATATGATACCAAATGGATTTAATTTTATCAAATCACTTTTAATGTACATTTCGGAAAATAAAACTATTTTTCATCATTATTATCTCCTTAAAATCGTGAACAAAGACAACAATAGGATGCCAAGGAGATAAATATCAGATTTGAAGTAGATCCTTCCATTTCACAGACACTTTCTGCACAATTTATAGAGAGCTCACTTTTCAATAAACCTTTTATTCCTCAACATAAGTTTGTCGTTCAACTAATGTTTGCTTTTGAATAGAATATCTGGATAATTAATTCGCTTAGTCACACAATAATGTTATTTAAATTTGGTTTAGAATTAACGAAATGTTCTTTTCCTTCTCCTGAATTTTTTTTGAAGGGTGGGGAGTGGGGAGGGAGGAGTTGCATATAAGCAAATTAACCGGTGCAATGAATCCATCTTACCATTAAACTATATGAGTCTTTCTCTCTATGAATGTCAATGTCACACTTTAGCATAAACAGATAAAAAAAAAAGCATTTCACATAAAAAAAAACAATGTATTTTATTGAAGAGATGAATCCACATAAATATATAACTTGGTACATATTTTATTCCTGATGCTGATATTAAACGGTCTCCCCTTTAGAATGCCTATACACACGTCTCCATATCTGTGTGATGACTCTCCGTTTAAACAAAAGGTGGAGTTGTGCATTTGCGATTTTATAGTGATAATGATTAGCACACCAAAGTGAACTTCACATTAGTGCACGGGATACGCAACGAAATAGAGTATAGCAACAGTGGCATGCAAGAAAAATAAAATAACCCTCTCCGGTATATTTGCACTCAAAGAGACAGAGGGAAAGCTCAACGAAAATTTCTAAATGTGTGGGAAAGGAGAATAATACGAAAAATATTTTTAAAAAATGCACCATATAAAACAAAAAATAGAAAAGCGTTAGTGAGATAAGTTTATGGTGTACAATAAAAGCATACTTAATAAATTTCTCTCTTCAGTGTTGTTTCTATCCAATATAGCTTATTAAAAGCGCGTTAGCTTACATATATTTGAGTGAATAATTACGTGCATAGGAAATATTTTTCAAAAAAGTGGTACAAGAAAATTAGAAAGTGATTTTCTTTTATATAAAAAAATAGAGGTGTGTGGATCCATTCTATTTTATACAATCCCTCCCAATCTGTAATTTGAAGTTAAATAGAATAACTTTGAAAAGGCTGAGTGGAATGGAAAAGTATAAATATTGATAACATGAAGGCATGCAATCAAAGATTCAGAAAATTTACAGGTAATATATCATACAATATTAGTATCTTGTATTAGTTTATCAGTTGATTAAGAAAGAAATCTCACAAAGAAAGGGTAAAGGTGCATTATAAATTGAAAAAAATAAATAAGAATCACTCCATGAGAACCAACATCACTATAACAATAATATTTGATACCAGTCCAACATACACTTAGGGCTACTCTTATGCAAAGTCACAACTTTCGCATAGCAAAGGGGAAAAAAAAGAAATATATTCGGCTACGATCAAAAACTCAAGAGATATGTGAATGCACTGCGAAAAAAAAAATACTATGCGACCAAACTACAAAAAAATTAGAATAACAGTAATCCAAGATTCGTTTTTTGAAAAACAAAACGTTTTCCCTTCTTTCTGTAAGGTTCAAATAAATATTTCAGTCTGAAAATAAGCAACACAACCTTTTTTTATCAATTTGAGGAGAGGGGGAAGGGGAGTAATTATTCGTGTTCAGAAAATATAGCAAATATTTGCTACTTATTTAAATATATCCCCTATTTAGGTGTGCAGAGTGAAACCACCACTGCTGCTTCGTCCTCTACAGAGGCGTCACGTATATAAAAGTATATTGGCACATAATTCGCATCGGCTAATCATTTAATCACGCCACAATTTGAGGGTCGCGCTCGGCGGTCCTATCGTCTTTATCCAGTTTGCTAAAATCTGGCGAAAGTACACGCTTGACGTGCTTCATCGCATCGCGGAACCAATCCTTTCCGACGTGGGGTTTTGGTGGACCGTAAAAGCTGCGTGGGGTGCGGGGGCGGCGTTGGCGCACCATCTCATCAAGCTTGCAGGGCAACACCGAAGGGTATTCCAGCACCAACGCGCGGCGCTTCTGAATGAGATGAATAATGTCGTTGTGCAATTGCTCATTCATCTCGATGCTTTCCCCCGCCACCTCCGGCTTAACCTGGCCGGACTGCGGTCGTGGATACCACTGAAGTTGGTGATATCTCCCACCAAAGTCCCCCCCACGCATCCTAATCGGCTGAAACGAAAGCACCTGCACATTGTTCTGCCATTCATTCAACAGGTCATGGCGTCGGAAAGGGTGCAAGGGCGCATACTCCGGGATTGATTTGGAATCCACCACTTTGGTGCTCTCCGCATCCGAAGCCACTTCGGCGGTTAGCATGGTGTAGGAATATTGTAAGTGCTCACTCATACTGAGCGAATTCATCCGATTATAGCTCGAGGCCAATTCTGATTTCCCGGTCTTTGCAATTCCATTGCCTTCGCATAGGGGGTAATCCTCATCGGTTTTGGTGTGTTCACTTTTTGTCCTCGTCGAATTCGTATCAGCGGTTTCGGATGAGACCAGCGAATAAGGTGGGGCGATTTTTATCGAATCGGAGGTATTAGAGGAGCCCGAAGTCAACGCAATCGCGCCGATACCCATCTCAACCGCTTTTCTATTCTCTCGCTCGAGAGTTTGTGGGATAGAATGAATCCGACGTTGGCGTGGCTGCGGTGAGATGAATTTCGGCGAGTGTTGGGGACTCAAGGATGGCGCTTCCTTTTCCACCTCTCCCTTCAGGGTGGACCCGGTGCTGAAGTTTAGAAACTTCAACAACTTCACATCCAGCGGGGGGGCGCGGTTATTTTTTAACTCAAACGTCTGGGAAGACCTGCGGCCTGGGACGCCGTCCTTGTTTTGGTGTCGAAATTTCAGCATCATGTCTATGTGTTTATCTTTGCTCAGGTTCGCGATCGCCTCGGCGTCGTTCGCCAAGGTCTCCTGGCGCTCCACGTTGTAGCTGTTTAGGTGATCCCGTCCATCCTCCAGTGATTGTTTTTGAATGACGTGGGGATGCCGTGTCGAATCGATTTTGTTTTCCGTTCGCAACTTCGAAAAGAGGAATCGTTTTTCATTTATGGGAATACGCTTGAAGATGTCATTGGAATGGTCTCCCATATCGCCGCTAGGAGGATGATCAGACCGAACGCAAGGACTTCCTTTTGGTCGCTCTTTTATACCTTCCTTTGTTTTGAAATTTGGAACCACGTAGGGGACATGTCGTGGTTGGGTGATATCCGGCAAGTGCAGTGGGGAATGCTCCACCACAGTCTCTGGACTGGTTGAATGTCGGCGTAGTTTCCCATGATTGCGCGATTTACTTTTCATCGAACTGCCCTCAACGAAGAGGTCCGAATTTTCACTCGTGCGAGTGGAACCCGCGCTGTTTTCATGCCTTCCCTGACCAGGGCCGCGAAGGACGTCTCGACGGATCGGCAAGGGATCCTCATCCAGGTACGCGGTGGGGCGTTTTCCTGCCTTCCGCGATCGATGCTCCATCATCTCCTCACTCGAAGAAGGGCTTCCGCGAGGGTAGGACTCCACGCGCATTCGACGTTTCGTGTTCATGGGGTTTTTTTCCGACGGGTTTGAACTGCGGCCTGAGTTTCTGGGCGTGATCTTGGTGCTTGGAGGCAGGGTTTTGCTGATGACACAGGCAATAGGGCCATGGAGGAGATCATTGGAGTCCATATTTAAACTATAGCTTGCATCAAAATTAAAACTCATTTCTAAAGATATCGAACTATCACGCTTAGGGGTTGAGAAAAATTGACAACGCGGATTACACCGTAGATCCTGCGGGATGTCAAATAGTTTTCTCGGAAAAAAAACTTATTGCTAAGTTTAGAATAATAATAATAAACTACACTTAGATATGACAAAATGCTACTTGCGTATGAATTTTCCTTCCTACCACTAAAAGCTTATCTTCAAGGAATCTATATACAATATGTGAAAATTTTTATTGGGGTACTTCCTTGAAAATCTACTCAATAAAATGTCAATAATAGATAAATTTTATAAAGAATAAGAGAAAGAGAGATTGGTCTGGGAGTATTCAACGCTTATAAAAATTTACATAAACTATAGGAGACTTTCTCAACTAATGCTAAATAATCATTTTTTGTTTCTTAGACATATTGCAATACTAGTGCCATAATGGACCAATATAAATTCAAGTGAGTGAGATACGACCTCACTTATTTATTATTATTAACAAACAATATCAGTATCAGGTTAGAAAAAGTCTAAATATGTAATAATTAATATTAGACTTTGTAAACATTTTAAGTATATCTGTATAACACAAACATGAGTTCCTGAAGGTTAGAATTCGTAGCTAGAATTCATGAAGGCGAGTAATAATATACTACAAAAAAAATTCCAATTATTCGCATAAAAACAACGTGTCCACGAAAAATTTTCAAGAAATAGTATTGAAAAAAGATGAAAGCCAACCTTTTTTTATCATAAGCATAATATAACTCTTTATATCGAGCTTTTTTGTTTCAATAAGATTAAAATTTACAAAATATTTTAAATGATGTAAATTATTAAAATAAATACAGACGATAAAGTTACATACATAACATAAAAAAAACACCACTACACTTCAACCCAAACGAAATAAAATAGATAAAAAAAACTCTTAAAACATACCCTTTCAATGTATTGATTTTAGAGCATTGTGGAAGTTTTAGTCGGTATACGAAAGGGGAAGAGGGGGAGAAAAAGTGGTGTACATAATTTTAGTGAATAACAATGAAAGTACTCTCAACATGATGAAGGAGAAAATAATAATAAGTCTTTTTAATTTCTCTATATATTTCAAAGATATCTACACATTTATCTGGAAAACAAGAATTCCTTTTAGTCTTCTAAACAAAAAAAATATTCATTGAACTGCACGCTCATTCACCCGTATATTTACATACACAGCAACACGCATATGTACAAGACCTAAACGAATAAATGTCTTTTGATTACAAATTTAAATTTGTCACGAAACCTTTTTGTGTGAAAAAAGGGAGAAAAAAGCCTTGAAAAGGGTTTTCTTATCTTGTTTTTCCATCCCTTGTTCACCTTTAATTGGTTTACTAAGATGCCGCTGGGGACGGATCTCAGGCTTTGACGCCTTTGGTGTATCCACCCAAGTCGTATAGATCAGATCTTTTAACCAACTCGAGTCGTTCCCCACGGTCGTCCGAATCACCCGAGGCTTCTTTGCGTGCGGGACATTCACGGGCCCCTCGGAGGCCCCATTTTCCCTGGGGTTTGGTCGCATGTTAAGGGCCTCCGTCCGCAGCGGCGGCGCCGGGCGTTGGGGCGGTCGAGGCGAAGAAGAAGAAGGAGGGGGAGAGGGAGAAGGGCGGCCCTGCCCGTAGGCGATCCGCTCCCCTCGTCCGCCTTTCATCCACAACGCCACGGCGGCATTCGAGTTGAAGACGTGGGGGCCGATTTTCCGCCGAAGGATCTCGCTGATCTCCTGAGAAGTGGGCTTGACGGCCTCCCCG